TGCAACAGGTCATCTTGGAGTCAATAGGCCCTGCAGATAGCTTGGTGTCCCTGCTGCTTATGCCTTACACATAGTGCCATCTGCACACTCACTCGCCCGTTTCCAAGACGAGTGAGCTAAGCGTAGCAGTGGGTGCAATGTGCACCTTTCCAGGAATACCAAGGGTCCTCTGTTACCCACTGCAGACTAACCAGGGCCATACAGACTTACTCATTAAAGCACCCCATTTCTGGTTCTCTTAGAAGCTAAAATTTACCTTGTGCTCCTGGGCCTAGGCTCCCCTGCATACCTTATTTGCAACATCTATAAAATTAATTTTTTTTCTGAGCCCGGCCTCCCCTGTTGGATTAGTAATCCCCAAGACCAAAACTAGGTTATGAGGGCTGGTGCATGCTGGGGACGGTGTGGGAGCTCATAGAAGCTGCTCTCAGAAGGGCTTGTCAGGAGGTGCTTTGGGGCATAGGCCTCCACAAAGCTGTGGAGGTATGATGGCTCCTGGTCCAGTCCCATCTGGCCAAGATCCCTGTTTGGGGCATTTGTCCTTCCTGGGTTCCACTCTGCTGACACTGGCAGAAGACTGGCAATGCCCCAGAGGGCAGGTGTGCCTCCCTGGGTCCTCACAGCCATGATGGATAAGACACAGTCCCTGTGTTAAAGGAAGAAAACACTCCAGGAGGAGAACTGAAGACCCAGAGCCTATACGCCATGCAGCCCTGGCATAAGTCAGGCCAGGCCAGCTCAGAGCAGAGCGAGCTCCTGCTATTGGGCACCTCTAAGCACAAGCTGGCTGAGGCCCTCAGGATCAAGGTTAGGACACATTCTGGAAGGAGTTCTAGAAATAAAACCCTTCCAGATTCCAATAGGTTATTGTAGGGTCTCATAAAACCCCCTATGTCCCCCAGTGCTTAGATAAGGCTTGGCTCCTGGAAAGATTTCTGATCAAGCACCCACGGGGTCCCATGCCCTTCCGTCCACACCTCTCATTTCCACAGGGCTGGGAGGCGCCTACGCCCACTGCTAATTACCCACACGTGTGTGTGTCTCCGCCATCTAAAGCACATCCTTCAAGTCTGCCTCCACTCAAACTCCTGAGCGAGAAAGAGACAGCCACCCTTCAGAGAGAGGAGTTCAGATCGCTCCGTCTCCAAACTAGACACGACAAGCAGAAGCATGGCGAAGGACAAAGACCTGTGCTTGCATGATGACTGGATTCGAATCATGCTGACACTTGCCCCCGTGTGGCCTTGGGCTCATCTCTCATCCTCTCTATACCGCTCCTTTATCTGTGCACTGTGAAGGACGCTAAGAACACACACCTTTAGCCACTATGCAGTTAAGGAAGGATTAGAGATGTGATGACTCAGGTGTGGCAGACACTTGATAAATGGTAGCAGTGGTGAGTGTAACTGTCAGTGCTGGCTACTGGATGCTTCTGGCCTCTTGGGTGACAAACTAAGAAGCACAGTTGTCTCTCTGAACGAGTAGGCACTCACTTGGCAGTCAAATACCTGTTACTTGGGCCCACCTGAATTCTAGAAATTTCCATTGTAGTGGAGAGCAAGAGCCTGCTGAATTCTGCCAGGTGCTCTCCAGAATGGTGATCAGACCTAATTACCTCTGTCCTCCATACCTGAGCTCCGCTCATTCTCTCTCCCCAAGCTACTCCACGGTTTCCTTCCCACTAGAAGCTTCCAGTCCTTCTCAAGACTCTGCTTGATGCTAGGAGTTTGCATGCACATGTGTTTGCTTTCCCTATGTGTTGTTCTCGGCTTTGGTCTTCACCTTGGCTTGGGTGAGGGCAGTGGAGGGAAGAGATGCAAAGCTCAGGTGGGAAACTGAGGGAAGAACATGGCATCCACTCGGCAACGCTGCTGTCACCGGCCTGGGAACTTCAGGGTCACCAAGGGAAGCTCCCAGAAAACACACGTGCATCTTCCCAAAGGTGCTCTCCTCCCTGCCCTCACCCCGAGGTTAGTCTTCTGTCTAGAAAAACGCCCCTGAGCTACTGTGACTCCATCCCTTCCTCCAGGAATGGAACAGACATCAGGAACCAAAACACAGTGGGAAGAATCTGGTAGAGCAGCTGCCTTCACGTCAAGGTCACCAGCCAGCTGACCCCTCCCCAAGCTTTTCACGGTCGGTCATGTCTGTTATCAGATCTCTCATGGTCATCCATGATTTAGATCCCAAAGGAGACAGTGCTCTAAAAGCTCGGTGGTCTGGGAACCACTTCCTGTCTGTCCCAGCTGGGGGAGTAGACCTACGAGAGTCTACACACTGTGAGACACAGCAGCTCTGTGTCCCCTAAGAAGGTGGGGGAAGCTTCTTTCTGAGAAATGATGAATTTATATGACCAAAAATATAGTCTTCAAACAGATAAGGCAGAATTTAATAACACTGTATAAGAAAGTGATAAATCTCCAAATACTGTGAGGGATATCCCTATGCATTTTATCACGTATTTACCTGTTATACACAATATTAATATGAATACAGGACATTTTGTACAGCCAGAAATGTAACTCAGTGGTAGCTTGCCCAGCATGTCCCAAGTCCCAAATTAGCTCTTAACACAGCCACAAAATAAAGCAAAATAAAAGGGGAAAACTGAACAATAATTAATGCCTAAAACTAGACAGTGTAAGTATTTTCAAGTACACATGACACATTTGCATGATTGACTATGCTCAGGAATGGCCAGGAATTGGAGACGCATTCCCATGCATTACTAAATCTAATAGTGTGGTCCTGAGTGATCAGGGAACTGTGGCTCATCCCCCAGCATCCATCCCATCAACCTTCGCCTTCACTTAGAGGAAAAGCTGTCCATCCTTCTGATGCTCAGGACCCAATTACACCCAGGGTGGCTCTGTGGGAAATGGACCAAGATGTCAATCCCTCCATAAACTTGCTCTCATGTAGACTTCTCCACACAGACACATACAATTGCCCCAGACTTATAACGTCTATAAAACACACAATGGTCCTCTACCAATTAGTTATCTATCTCCTGGGATGGGTGTTCTCAGTTCCCCTTGCTCAGTTACAGAAGATCACAAGGAACCTACCTCCATGTCATCAAAATTGCACACAGCACAGCCTTAAGATCTGCCCTTTAACCCACACCCCACAGGCCTGCCCTAAAGGCTCCATTCAAACCACCCACAAATCCACCCTCCTGTAGCAGGGTGGCCTTGAAAGACACCCCTGCTGTTCAGCCACATGGACTGTGCTCGGTAGTTTCCTATCAGTTGCTTTTTTAAGTTCGACGTCTCCTCTGGGATTGTTTCACAGTGCTTGTAAGAGATAATATAGAGGACTCCGCTGTATCCTTCACATGGCTTTCCCTTCATGGCACACGCTCAAACCACAGCATGGTATTATTACATCCAATACACTGATACTGCTATGGGCAAGACGTGGAACACTTCCAGCACACAAGGTCAGCTCCAGCCACTGTTCCTTTATGGTCATGCCCTCTCCTCCTCCCAGTATGCCCCTACTTGCTGCTGGCAACCCTCACCCACTCTCTGCTTCTGGAAAGTGGCAGTTCCGAGGGTGCTCTATAGGAAGCACGTGCTGTGTTAACACTCCCTGGAGACGGATCCAAGCTGCCGAGGGTATCGGGGTGTCAGTGCCCCTTTTCATTGCTGAGTGGGGCTCAGAGGAACTGATGGGCTACAGTATGCTCACCCGCCCACCTAATGAGGGGTGTCTGTGTGGGTTCCAGTTCAGGCGGATTACTAGACGCTGTCAGTTTTCACTTCTCAGGGACACTGCCGGATCCGGTGATCGTTGGGTAGCTAGCTCTTTAAAACTGCTTGTCGTACTTTGCAGAGAGGGTGGGCCACTCTGCCTTCCCTAGCAATGTGCAGGTAATCCATTTTTCTCTCCAGCCTTATCCGCTTCTGGAGTTGTCGCTGTTTTTCATTTTTGCCTGGAGACTTCAGTTTGATCCCTGGGACCACATGAAAATAGAAAGGGAGACAACATAATTGTCCTCTGACCTCCACATAAACTCCATGGCATGCACAACTATGCACACAAGCATAATAAATAGTAAAAATAATGACAATAATTTCAGATTTAAAGTTGCGTTTCATATGCTTGACCTGCCAAAGTCTGCCTTGGACATGCTCAGAGCACCTACGTTAGCCTACAGTTAAGGCAAATCATTGAACACAAACCAACTTTATAATAAAAATACCAGATACCTTATAGCTTGTTGAATTGCCATACTAAAAGAGGACAAACAGGATGGCTGGAAGAGTGGTCCTTTACACTGCCATAAAGTCAAAAGTCCTGTATCAGATCCTGGTAAGTCAGGGACCATCCATACCGTCGAGAGCCACCGTCTCTTACAGGCTTTAAAGAGCTGGGAGGTTAACCAGCCAGACACAAGAAAGTAATGGACAGAGTGCCTGGATCTGTGCTGACTTTAAATGCCTGCTTACAGAGAAACAACTTACATTACGTACATAGGATGCTAGGGAAAGAATTACTGAACTGCAAATGTAAGAGACTGCCAGGCACAGTGAATCCAGAAGCAAGCTCAGGAGCCAGACCATATGCCGCCATGGCCCTGTCCACTCACTGAAAACAGGACACAACGTTGAGCTGAGGCTTCCTGGTTTAGCTTGTGTGAAATATGAGAATGCTTCATCACCTGGAGACTTGTGAGCATCTCCCAGCAGAAGCTCCAAGCAGGCCCCATGTGCGAGCAGGACCCCACCCTGCAGAGGCTTTCCCCAGTGTTTCACCACGCCCATCCTCCCAGCATTCTCCATGTCCACATTAACAAGGCAGAATTCTGTGAATCGAGCCCACAAAGGTCTTGGTGGCTTTTCCAAAGCAGCTGATGCACGCTGCCTGGTAAGATGCTAACTCCAAAGGTCTTAAGCCTGAGCTAGTTGTGACTAACAGGTAAGGCTTGCTCCAGGAAATGAGTCCTCAAGCTGCTGTGCTCATTAACTGGTCTCCTTTTCTGTGTGTCCCTGCAGGGCTCTGGCTGAGAACATGGCCAATGATATTGATGAACTCATCGGCATCCCTTTCCCCAACCACAGCAGCGAGGTGCTGTGCAGCCTCAATGAGCAACGGCACGCTGGGCTGCTGTGCGATGTGCTGCTTGTGGTTCAGGAGCAGGAGTACCGAACGCACCGCTCGGTGTTGGCTGCCTGTAGCAAATACTTCAAGAAGCTCTTCACGGCTGGTAGCCTGGCCAGCCAGCCCTATGTCTATGAGATTGACTTTGTCCAGCCCGAAGCTCTGGCTGCCATCCTGGAGTTTGCCTACACCTCCACACTCACCATCACCGCCTCCAACGTCAAGCACATCCTCAATGCTGCCAGGATGCTGGAGATCCAGTGCATTGTGAATGTGTGCCTGGAGATCATGGAGCCTGGTGGCAACGGAGGTGAGGAGGATGACAAAGAGGACGATGACGATGACGAAGATGACGATGATGAGGAGGACGAAGAAGAGGAGGAAGAGGAGGAAGAGGAGGAGGATGACACAGAGGACTTTGCTGACCAGGAAAACTTGCCTGACCCCCAGGACATCAACTGCCCCCAAAGCCCCTCCAAGACGGACCATCTCACAGAGAAGGCCTATTCAGACACACCCAGGGACTTCCCCGACTCCTTCCAGCCTGGCAGCCCTGGCCATCTGGGAGTGATCCGGGACTTCTCCATTGAATCTCTGCTGAGGGAGAACTTGTACCCCAAAGCCAACATCCCTGACAGAAGACCCTCCTTATCTCCATTCGCCCCAGAATTCTTCCCACACCTCTGGCCAGGGGACTTTGGTGCCTTTGCCCAGCTGCCTGAGCAGCCCATGGACAGTGGGCCGCTGGATCTAGTCATCAAGGACCGCAAAATCAAGGAGGAGGAGAAGGAGGAGCTAGCCCAACCCCCACCCCCTCCCTTCCCCAGTGACTTCTTCAAGGATGTGTTTCCTGACCTGCCTGGTGGGCCGCTGGGCCCCATCAAGGCGGAGAATGACTATGGTGCCTATCTCAATTTCCTGAGTGCCACCCATCTGGGGAGTCTCTTCCCACCCTGGCCGCTGGTGGAGGAGCGCAAGCTGAAGCCCAAGGCCTCTCAGCAGTGCCCCATCTGTCACAAGGTCATCATGGGGGCCGGGAAGCTGCCTCGCCACATGAGGACCCACACCGGGGAGAAGCCGTACATGTGCAGCATCTGCGAGGTCCGCTTCACCAGGTGCGCAGCCGCAGCAGAGAGATGGAGGCTGGGGGCGGGGTCGGAGCCTGGGGGGGGGCGTTAGGAGAGGAATACGGAGGGCAAGGGGTGGACAGGGAGCACACACGGGGCTCATTGCTTGGTGCAATCATTTCTACCCCCTTTTTGGAACTATTTTCTCAAGTATAGCGCTAGGGTGAAGCCCGAGACAAAACCAGGTCAGAGCAGGGCTGTGCAGGGGAGAAGAACCGAGGAGCCAGGCAGGTAGGTTCCTTGGAGGGTAGGCCCTGGGCTCCATAGATGGAACCAACAAACCTCAGTTAAGCAACAAACCTCTGTGTGCTTGGTGCCAGTGTTTCCCAGACACTGCCCGCGGCTAGCCGGGTGCTCCTATGTGCCGCTGGACAGTCGCAGAGATGGTACTGGAATCGCAGTGCTTCTGCGTCAATGAAGTGTAAAGTCTGTGAACAAGCGGCTGCACATAGGCGGCTGCAGAGACTCCCCCCACCCCACCCCCATAGACCCTTCTTCCTCCTGATAGGATGGGCCTCTTATATGTCCTCCTTATTTCTCCACATTGCCAGAGGGTAACTTGAGATCTGAAACCGCCACATCATAAGCCTGTCATCTTTCGGAAACATCGCCCCATTCAGCAAATGTGCGCTATGTACCCGTCTGTGCCATGACTTCTGTAGTCAAAACCAATTAAGTGGGGGGATATGGGACTACAACTATGAGATGCTTGGCTCCAAAGGCTGCTTGCTTGCTTTCTTTCTTTCCTTCTTTCTTTCTTTCTTTATTTATTTTTAAGTCTTGCCTGTTGCTACCATCAGTGTCCCTGGTGTAAAGCAGATACTCTCAGCTAGATCTGATGTGGACAAAGCCTCTTGCTCCCTGTCTTACAGGCATGGCTTATGGAACTAGGTCCTTTCCCCTGTCTCTGTGGACTTCAAAGAACTTGCCTTAACAGGCCCATTCATTCTAATAGTGTTTCTTAGGATTTTATTCCTCCGAGTTTTCATAGTAAGCATGAAGTTTTGGCCTTCGTAGATGGAGTGAATTTTTGGGTCGTGCATCCTGTCAACCTAGTGGTCGTGCCCTTTCCAGGAGATAACAAGGTGAACCCTCTAGAGTGACAAGGGCTGCTGCCATGGGTGGCAGGAAACTCTATTTGAAATAGCTGAGGATGGAGCTGAGCGTATGTTCAGGTGACCGTGGCGTTGCTGGATTGGCACAGCAGGCAATCTGGTGCTGCTTTAAAGGACAACACTGAGGGTTTCCAAGCTACTCCGGGGATGGAAACCACCAACAGAATCTTCTGGGGGGAGGGTCTTGGGGGGAGGGTCTCATCCCGCTGCATGCCCTTCCTCTTAGCAGATGGCTGCAGCGGCCCTGAAAAGCCGACATCAGGGCACTGTGTTCCTGTTATCTCCCAGGGCAGCTGGAATCCAAATTCCCAGGTTCAGCTCCCTGTGTGTCCCTGATAATGTCCCAGGACACTGATGTCCTGTTGAGTTATGCTGTCCCTCACTCCCCTCCTCTCTTCTCCTGAATTCATTTGGCTCCACAGAGCCAGCTGTCCTGAAACACCTGGGCAAAGCTTAGCTAAAGCGTAGAACAATAGAGAGATGTGCCAGAGTCCGCATGAAGCTGAGCTCAAGTGTGATTTATTCATCTTCAGCAGGACAGCTGAGAGTCCAGCCCCCAGGGGAGGAGAAGATGTCAAAGCGGCAGACCAAATGGGGCGTGCCACTGCTGGCTCCCAGCCCGGTCTTGTACCTGTCCCTGGGCACAATGACCAAGGGGACAACACTCCCTTCAGGGGACTCAGGATGCCACCCTGAGCAACTAGGAGCCCAGGTCCCCTTTCTTCCTTCCTTCCTACCTTCCTTCCTACCTTCTTTCCTTCTTCCCTTCCTTCCTCCTTCCTTTTTCCTTCTTTCCTTCCCTCCTTCCTCCCTTCTTTCCTTCCTTCCTCCCTTCTGTTCTTTCCTCCCTTCCTTCCCACCCTCCCTCCCTCCCCCCTCCTTCCTTCCCTCCCTCCCTCCTCCCTTCCCTCTCTCCCTCTCTCCCTCCCTCCTCTCTTCCCTCCCTCCCTCCTCCCTCCTTCCTGACCCTCCCTCTGATCTCTCTCAGTGGTCTGTGCAGGTCTGGCCCTGCCTTTCCTAGGCAAAATTTTAAACTTGTTTAGTCCCTGCTAACAGACTTTCCGTCCTCCCGACGCTACAGCAATCTCCAAGAGAGATTCCTGGATTCAGGCAGCAATGCTGTTTTGTATAGAAGAATGAAATTCCAGAATGTTCCCTCCCAACAAATTCCTGAAGGCCACTTTGTGTGACCTCCGGGTGTACAGTCCCCCTATCCCTCCAGGTCAGCTCAGCCCTAGAGAGTTTCTGGTATCAGGCGTCAACCCTGCCTGCCCCCGAGTTACTCCTCCTTTGCAAGACGACAGCCATCTGGGCTCTAGGCCTATCTGTGGCAACTCCATTTCAGCCCCCGTCTCGCCTCCCCTCTCTTGGTTCCCACCCCCTGACCCTTCTGCACAAGATCAGGCAGGCTTCAGGAGCTGTTCTCCAAGGTCAGGGGCAGAAACTGCTGAGATACTGCTGGAATCCAGACTCCCATCCGGGACTTTTCCTCACCATGGACTGAGACTGCCATGCTGACCTCTCCCCATCACATTCTTCAAAGCCAATGGCCCTTTGCTTGCTTGCCTTCCACAGGGCTACCCTGAAAGCAACCTTTCCTACCCAGCCAAAAGGCATCCATCCAAAGCCCAGCCTCGACCTGCCAGGGTGAGGTTTTCCTTACAGTCTCTCCATGAGGATGTGCTTTGGGGCTGAACTCCCTGGCCACCGTTCATTACCTCCCCCTCCTCCCCACCAAGAGGCTCTTCAGCAGCGTGGCTGCCTCCAGACCTGGAATTCCCAGAGTCCCTTGCAAGCTAAAGTCACTACTTGGTACTGAGAGGCTCTGGGCTCAGTCCTTCCTCCCCACAGCTAAACTCCATGGTCTTGTCTCTCTCCTCAGGGCTGGGCAGAACTTAGATCTCTGGATTACCTCAGCCCTTCCGTGGATGTAAGAAGGACCCATGATGGTCCATGATAATAGGCTCTGTTGACTAGATGCCATTTTCTAGAATGCCCACACTTCATGGGAACTCCATTCCCTTTGACTCCTATAGCATTGCCCAAGGCAGAGTTTTCCAAGAAAAACCCCTGCCATCCCCATGACCTGTCTGCTGCCTTCATTCTATGGGCCTCCAAGAGGAGGGGCTTCCCACACCCTGCTATTATGTCATGAGTTCATTGCCTCCTGTGTCCCATGGCTCCTAGCATTGTGAGACAGTTCTGTGTGCACACATGGAGGGAGGTCCTTGACTGGTAACAGCACATCCACACCACCACCAAACAGGTGTCCTCCCTGGCCAGCAAATAGCAAGGCCACAGACGTGGTGATGATGAGAGCCTTGATCCTTCACGGTGGGAGACATGCAAACAGGTATAAGATCCCCAACCAGAAGAGCAGCTGACTCTTGTCTAGTTCGGGGCTTGGGTTTAGATTTGTTCTTTTTTTCCCCCAGTGGTGGGAACTGAACCCAGGACCTTGGACATACTAGGCCTTGCCTTCTGTTGTCACGTCCTCTTTGTCCCTCAGGTGACCTGCCTTGAAAAGGAGTGTTCAGGTCACAAGCGTCTCCGGTCCTGATAATGACACTCATGCTTGCTCAGGGGAGACCACTCAGCCACCTAGGTTGGCAGCTGGGAAGTCCCAGCAGGTACCTGCAGGCCAGGAGGGCTGGAGGCTGTGGAGGGAGGAGAGTCTGGTGTTTAGACACTTGGAGCACCACGCCCCTTTCTCCTCTGCCCCCTGCTAGTCCCACTCCCCACCTCCCAGCCTTGCAGCTCCGGGGAGCACAGAAGAGAGGCCTGGCTCTGCACACCAAGTGTGCACGTACCCAGCGTGCCCCTAACAGCAATCCTTTCCCTCCTTGCGCCCACCTAGGAGAATTCTTTTCTAAATGAGATCCCGTGCGACCTCTAGTGGCTAGAAGACACCCTGCTGCCTGGGGTTAGGTTGAGGGTGGTTTAAATCTGGACTTTTTAGGGAGGGCTCTTTGGATTCCACATCTGCTCTGACCTCAAAGCCCAACCTGGAATTACAGCAGGGGCGTCACCCAAGCCCCACCTGCAAGAGGCTGTGGAGACAGCACGCGGTGTTCCTGGCCCCTAGCCACTTGGAAGAGAGCTGTAGGAAGATCCTGTACAGCCCACTACCCCCCACCCCCAGCCAGGCTGGAACATTTCCTATACTGGTGTTCCGTGTGCTCAGTCCTTAGACAACAAAACCGGATCGGCTTTCCTTTCAAGACTACCAGGAGGGCCTTGAACCCCCGCCCCCTCGAGCACACCCTGAGTCTCTAGCAACCCTAGACAATGGGTGTCATGTCTGACCCCAGCTTCAGCTTTGCCTAGAGGGTTTACCTACCTTGCCCAAGGTCACCCAGCAAGTGGTCATGCCTGCAGCTGGAGCCCCGCCCCATCCCATGCCTTGCCTCTGAATAATGCTTCTAACCCCAGAGCTTACCCCAGATCAGGGTGCATTCTTACTGCACCTGGCTCTTTCATACGCCCTAAAACGTCTGCAAAGAGCAGAGCCCAGGGCTTAGGTAAGAGGCCACCACACGGAGAAGCTTTCAGCAAGGCATGCCAGGCTTCTAGCGTCTCCAGAAGTCTCCAGGAGTCTAGTGCTGGCGTGGGACTGGGGGCTTAGGAGGAGCCTAGAGGCAGAGAACAAAGTAGCGTGCTTTGGAAGGGCCTTCGCCATTACGGGGCTGAGACCAGGATGCTGACCTCTCTCTCCAGCAAGACTGTCTTCCAGGATGTGAGGTGGGCTCCTAATAATCAGTGGGAGATCCTCACTCAGAACCTGTGTGTAAAGGGAATGGTGCGATGTCTTTCAGGACACTGCCCCGTCACACTTAAATCCAGAGGTGAGGCAGATGCTTGGGCAGAAGTTGAAGGCCGATCTTGGGGCGAACCCGGCTCCTGGGTTGGCAGCATGGATACAGGAAGCCAGTTGTGAAATAGGGAACAAGGTGAAGAGCGGGCGTCTGCATCCCAATCAGGGCCTAACCCCGGCTTCTGTATTGCAGGCAGGACAAGCTGAAGATCCATATGCGGAAGCACACGGGGGAGCGGCCCTACCTGTGCATTCACTGCAACGCCAAGTTCGTGCACAACTACGACCTCAAGAACCACATGCGCATCCACACAGGTGTGCGGCCCTACCAGTGCGAGTTCTGCTACAAGAGCTTCACGCGCTCCGACCACCTGCACCGCCACATCAAGCGACAGAGTTGTCGCATGGCACGGCCCCGGCGTGGCCGCAAGCCCGCAGCCTGGAGGGCCGCCAGCCTGCTTTTCGGGCCGGGTGGCCCGACGCCCGACAAGGCGGCCTTCGTGATGCCACCCACGCTGGGAGACGTGGGGGACCACCTGGGCGGCACGGCTGTGTGCCTCCCGGGCCCCAGCCCTGCCAAGCACTTCCTAGCGGCACCCAAGGGTGCCTTAAATCTGCAGGAGCTGGAGCGGCAGTTTGAGGAGACACAGATGAAGCTGTTCGGACGTGCGCAGCTCGAGGCCGAGAGGAACGCGGGTGGCCTTTTGGCCCTGGCGCTGGCCGAGAACGTGGCCGCCACGCGGCCCTACTTCCCGCTACCCGACCCCTGGGCAGCCGGCCTGGCCAGCCTCCCTGGGCTCACTGGCCTCAACCACGTGGCCTCCATGTCTGAAGCCAACAACTAGGCTGGCCCTGGTCCACCCCAGCCTCAGACTCTGTTTCAAGTCCTTCTAAGGCCCTCCCTGCTCCACCCAGTGGATCTGAACTTTCTAGTTTGCAAACACAAAGGGAAAATGAGAAAATATATTTTAGCTGAGCTGCGATGCTGTTTTCCTAGCCTTTGAGGGCAGCTCCTCCCTTTTGCTGGAGTAGGAGCTGGACATCTGTTCCCACCTTTCCCTGGCCATCTCTGATTCACATAGAAACACACAGAGTGCCATGTCTCAGAAGGCTCCGCGCGGGTGCCAGGAGCGCTTCGCAGCCGGAATGGGGCTGTGAGGAGGGGCCGCTCTGCCAGAAGGCAGACCAGGAGGAGCCAGCATGAGGACTGTGTCCTGGCCGGGCACCTTGGTTGAGCCATACTGCCCTATCCGGGAGTTCCTCCCAACACTGCTTTCCTCAGAGTCCAGTTTAGCTTAGAGGTCCCAGGTCCAATTGAGCAAGGCTGTGGGGAAAGACCATCCATCCCACTGCGTAAAAACCGCCTCGGTGCAGCTAGAAGCCGGCATGGAGCAAGCCCATATTTAAGTGGCTTGTCCTGTGACCTTGGGCAGGCCAACCTCTGTGCCTCAGAGTCGCCCTGCTGTGAAAGGGGGTGGTACCATATTCCCCTCCCCCTCCATACATGTTCACACCTGTTCCTAAAAACTTAGAGTCCCTAGAAAGGTAGACTGGGAGGCAGTCTGCCTTACTGGGCTTTGTCCCATTGTCTCCAAGTGAAAATCAGCTTTTTAGCCTAGGTGAGACACGTGGCAGAACTAGACAGGGCTGACAGGGGAGGGGCGGGGTAGGCTGGGTTTCATGGCTTTCAGTACCCATAGGCAACTCCAGGCACCCCAAATTCTGCCCCACTTCCTGACAGGACACTGTCAGATCTGGGCACCCCTGGGAACAGCAATCCACACCTGCCCACCCCACACGCCCTCTTGAGTTCTGTCTCCTTGAGCTAATTTATACTCAAGGGTTGGGGCCAGCTTCTCGAAGCCTCCTCCATCCCTGCAAGTGTCACAGCACCTAGTTATGTAGGACCCATCTGTTAGTTTGGGGTGGGGGTCCAGGCCTGGGGTTTGCTGGTGGCACTCTGATCCCCTTTTCCATATTGGATCAAAGGGCTCTAGTGCAAAAAGATGTGGATCCCTTTGGGTTGTGTGCACTCTGGGAGACAGGGCAAGCTTGCCCGGCTCTGGGGTTGGTAGTAACAAGACAACTTTGCCGGTCAGTCCAGACCTTTTTGAGTTTGGATCGGTTGCTTGAGATCTCAGGGAGGAGAATCCACCTGCTTGGAAGGCCTAGGCCTCGAGTCCCAGAGCCCAGAGCTGCTGGTACATGAGGCTCAGCTCTTCCTATATCCAATGTCTTGGCTCTATCCTGTACAAAACAAAAAGGCCAGAGAAGACAGTAGGCTCTGTCCCTCCTGAAGCTCCCAAGAGAGACTCCCTGTCTGCCAGTGTTACCAGACCGGTCCATCGGGTGGATTTCCCTCAGATACCCCATCCTCATCAGTCATCTGCTGGGGCTTAGACCCCTGTTGTCATTCAGACTTGTTTCTGCACCCATCTGCCGATAGGCATACTCCGTCCCGCCAGCCAAGGGCCTGCAGCTGGACCAGACTCAACAACACAGGAACCCAGGGGAAGGCAGTGGAGTCAGGCTTTTTTTTTTTTTTCGTTTTGTAGAGGGAACGGCTTCTTATAAACTCATTTTCCCAGGTGACTGCTTAGTTCCGTTTGTCATTTTTCCCTCCCCGGGCTGCAATTTGGAGTTGTACATTGTAAAGTATCCAAAGATGTTGAGTACTGTAATGATCGAGCACTTGAAACAAATGGGTTTTGGGGGGAGGGGTGGTTGTGCTTTGTTTTAATTTTTTTTTTTTTTTTTTATGTTTCTGACTTCCCTGTCTGTCTGTGGGAGAACTTTGGAATTTTTTCTATTTATAACTCTTTCTATGTGACGCCTCTGTGTATAATGACACACAACAGTTTGCCTTAGTGACTCAAGGGACAATCTTCCATAACTTTGGTCGCACGCCGCATCTACCCAGAAATGCTCAGCTAATTTTCTGGCCTATTTATTAAATATTAACTGACTTGACTAAATGACACCTAGAGTGGCACTTATGTGAACTGTAGCTACCAGAGGGTCACAGGACAGCAACAAGCCATACAACCCACAGAAGGCCCTTGCTTACAGTTTAGACCACTGGGCATGACAATTTGAATGTCAAAGACACCTTTACAAAACACAAACCTTTGACTCTTTTTTTTTTTTTTAATGTTCTTTTTTTTTTTTATATGTATGGGTTTTGCCTACATGTATGTCTGTGTACCGTGTGCATGTCTGGTCCCCAAGAAAGCCAGAAGAGGGCACTAGATCCCCAGAAACTACAGTGGTTGCGAGCCGCCACGCCACGTGGGAGTTTGGAATCAAACCTGGGTGGGTCCTCTGGACCAACAGCTGAACCCCTCTTTTGGCTCTAGTTTCTTGGAAGATTGTGGGTGGTTCGGCTTTATTTTTTGAGGGAGGGACCCACTACGTATCCCAGACAAGCCTCAAACGCATACCTGAAGTGTTTTAAGTAAAAGTGAGCTGTCTTTGTCGAACGCCATGGTTCAGACTGGCTTTCCAATTTCCACCCTTACTTCAGGGGTGGGAGTGGGGAGGAGGGCCAGAACTCAGTTCTCCAGGCACCAGAGTCTGGGCACAAGGCATGTGTGTGTGGCAGGGGACAGTCCTGCGGGTGCCGACTGTGCACTTCATCGGGTCCCCCAGCCAGCCTTGCTGCCATGCTGTTTTTGAACCTCCCTCTCCCTGTCTTCCTCCTTTAGCCGAAGCCCCTTCTGACCAGAGTCTCTGGGCCCTTCCGGAGAGGAGGGATATGCTCGCCGATGAATGGGTTCAGACCACAGCGCTCGGGCTCAGATTCTGTCAGTGAACTGCATATGGACAAACTCCAGGTCAGCCAGAGCCCTCTCTCCTCTTTTCCTCCCCTTTGTGGGTGCGGCAGGCACTTCCTATGCAGTGGCTCCCAGTACAGGGGAAAGGACCTGGCCTGGGGTTTGAACCCCTTCTCCCCGAGCTGTGTGTTCCCAGACTGATCACTTCTCCATTCCGGGTCTCACCTTCAGGACTCTTGGAATAAAGGAGCATTGCCAAGTTCTCTACCCATACAGTCCTTGGCAGAGGATCCAGCCTGGCCTCCCTGACAGGAGACTAAGCTTAAAAAAACAAAACAAAACAAACAAACAAACAAAAAACTAGCCTGACATCCTTCCTGTAAGGGTAGAGTGCCTCTGAAATCCCTGGTGGTGACAATTTATACCTCTACACTCTGATACACATAGGCACTTATCTTAGCACAAAAAAATAGTATCCAAACTATTTGCCAGGCTTAGTTCTTCACAGAATTTGCTAGTGGCATCAAATTCAAAGGCCTTGGCTACCCTGCAGTGTCGGGAGGTCAGTTTGTAACTGAGGGCAGGACCATGGGCTACATGTTCCCAGGACCTTGGGCATTCTGGGATTGTACAGCCCTCTTCCTGGAGTCATCGTCTACTAAAGGATGTAAATCATGATGGAGGCAGGGTAGGGATTAGGGCTCATTGAACTCCTTCCTTCTGCAAGTAAAATCTCGCCTGACCATGTGGGAACTCCACAGACCCGCTCCAGGCTCAGCCTGCCCTCTTGGGCCTGACATCGAATACCAAGAGAGCTGGTGTGCTGGCCGCCAACAGCCTCAGGGAGAGAAAAGGGAAGGGTGAGTCCTCTGAGGACAAGCCAAGGAACATGCACCTTCAGCTTGAAGAGAAAGTTTAAAGAAGGCACCAAAACAGGCCCTGGAGCTGCGATGGGCGGAGGAGTGTTTTGCCAAGAGTTTGGCCAGCTTGAACCAACAAAAAAAGAGACTAGTGTCCAAGTAGAAGCTAGCTTCCTAAATCTACAGTCATCCAGAGAGGGGTGAGGGTACTTGCGAGGGGTGGGCTCTGAACCTGGCACCAAGCATTTCAGAGATGCTGAGGTGGGGAATCTAGCAGGGGAGGAGAAAGGTCCAGTTTCCCTTCCGGTTTGTGAACCGTGGTATCACCCGGAAGTCAAAAAAACATAGGCACAAAACTACCTAGTTCCAGGGCTGCTGGGACAACCCTCTACTCTACTGGTGCTCTACTGGTTAGGGCTGGAGAAAAGTGAGTGACAAGGTGATTGGACCCACGTGCTGTGTCTCCTTGGTCTCCCCCCTGCCCTGGGGCTTTGTCCATCCTCTCCCAGGTAGGAGCATGCTAGGGGCCGAGTGTTTCCGGGTGACATTTGCTTTGGGGGTCGGGTAGAGAGCTGGGTCTCAGAGCTGGAGAACTCAGGAGCTGAGCGTGAGGCCTTGGCTGCACCCCAGGTCCCTTGGCCAGTAGCATGGCTAGGACTCTTGAGGGTATGCACCGCAACGGTTGCCGGTTGAATAGTGGAAACAGGAATATCCTAGGACGGTTCTGCCATGAAGTTTGGTCACCAATGATACCCCACTCCCAGCTCCCGTGCCCTCCTGCCCTTTGCCTCCAGGGCCCTCCCTGCTGAGACTACTCCTACCAGGTGGCAGCTCTCCATTTGTTTGGGTTCCCCTCCCTCCCCAGGCTGGCCCCAACGCCAGCGTGGCCCTCGAGCTCCCCCTACCGGCCATTGCTGGCGCTGCTCCAGCTCACAACGCGGCGCGGGAGGGGGGAGGAGGGGACACACACACACACACACACACACACACACGCACACGCTGGATCACCAAATGTCTTAGATTTCTGTTGTTATGATAAAGACCAACTTGGGGAAGGAGAGATTTACTTCACCTTCCGCTTTCAGGCCACAGTCCTTAGCTGAGAGCAGTCAGGGAAGGAATCTGGAGGCAGGAACTGAAGCAGAGACCATAGCGGGGAACCTAGGATCACCTGCCCTGAGATGGCACCGCCCACAGTGGTCTGGGCCCTCCCACATCCGTCGTTAATCAAGAAAACGCAGCACAGGCTTGCCTACAGGCCAGACTTCCGAAGGCGTTTTCTCAGTTTAGATTCCCCCTTCCCAGACATGTTTGGAACTGTATTAATTTGACAACCTGCATGGCAGAGAAGCCATGCCCGGGTTGGTGCTACTCCCCCTTGTAACAGTAGGGGGCGCAACGTGCGTGAAGGAAATAGGCACAGACATTTACCTCACAGGTTTCCCAGCTGGAATATT